CAGAATTCACCTGCATCCTTTCATTAAAGGCCAAACAACTTCAGGAGAGAAGTGTTTCCCAGTGCAACACAGAATTGACTGTCATTGGGAATGGCAACGTAGGAATCTGTTTGTTAGGTGCTTGGTGTGTATAACTCAGTGATCATGATTACACCACCTTTGGGCCAAAGAGATAGAACAGGAAAAAAAAGGCAGTCCAACTTGTAATAAATGTGGGTTTTCCACTCAAGGAAAGAAGGTATCTATTATTATCTTCTACTGCATGGATTGCATAACAAAGGTGATCTACAGAGGAGCAACAACGAAACACGCTTGTAATGAAAACATTACCTAAGATCTCTGTCTTCTTCCCCATGCGCATCGAGATAAACAGAACCCCACAGGCAGAAGCGATGGCCTCGTATGATGATGATAACAGATGCATTAATCAAAAGGAAAATTCCTGTCCCAGCTCCACAGTTTTGAGAATGCTGTAATATTGTGGGGGTACAAATGGAAGAGTGCAAAGATTCTGTTAGTGTCTGTTAACTTTGTAACTAAAAGGGTTTTAAACATAGTGATTAGTTTTACTTGAAGTCACATACACACATTATTTACTGAGAAACAGCTTGATAAGGAGAGCCTGCCTGAAAATTATCCAAGCAAACTGGAACTCTACTGTCTTCTGTTGTCATAATAATGCTTGCATTCAGAAATGTTTCCCTGCTCAAAAATGGAGGGATATTCGTTATCATGTAAAAACAGCATGACCTACAAAATGAGCAAAAAATATTCTCTATAATACTTCTAATTTGTTCTTGCATAGCAAACTGTACAGCATGACCAAATAATTTTCAGAGGTGGCAAGAATAAGAGAAAGTAATCAGAAAAACTTAACACCGTCTCTTTTACAAGAGCATCTATTGCTACACATTTGCTTCCTCTATCCAAGCTTACGGATCTCAGATTTCATTAAAAAATTATAACTCTTGCTTTCTTCAGTATGCCAATAACATCTATGAATGGCATGATCTGTATCAATTCATTTTAGCAATTAAAAACATGCTCTTCCTATATAGTTTTATTACAATTAGAGGCTATAATCCCATCAACTATAATAAAATGTAATTAATTATATAGATTTTTTTATAACTCTGTTTTCATGCAGTTTGCCACCTTAATTATACTTTAAATTTTGCCCACCCCTCCTTTTCCTGCCCTATGAACAGTATGAGAGAGAAAGGCAAGTTCAAACAATGTCAAAAAGGTCCAGGATCACTCTGAAATATCTTTGGGTTTGATTTTATGCCCTGTTTGTAAATATCTCCCCCAAAAATTCCCCTCACAGTTTCGTAAAGCCCATGTAGTTCCAGCCTTTGACTACCTGTTCTATGGTAGGAAACAGAGCAGCTGTCACAGCAAAGCTTTATCACAGACAGGAAAGCAATAGTAGATGCTGTTCAACTCAGGTGCCTGAAAGAATTTATACATACAAGCTGACTAGAAAACTTCACTGCTGAATTGAGTCAAAGGCTGCAAAGTGATGCTTATCTTGCTATAGTCTGTAGATACACACTGAGATACCTATATTGGATATGCATTGTATACATCAGTATACTTATGTATGCAGAGAGCAAGGAAGCAAAACAAAGAAAATGAAAGTTATGTGGGTACAATCAAAATGCAGACAAATTTCAATTGGTTATGAATCAAACCCATGTGTCAGCATCACACACAATGGCTTTATAAGAGTTTTTCAAACAGGTGAAATAGGCTATGGGCTTCAAAAGGTGAATAAAATTGCTCTCTAGAATCCAGTCTAGGCCCATCTACCAGAAATAAGCCTCAAACATTCTAAAAACACATTTTGGAAGGAAAATATAAAAAATGAGCAATGGAGTTAAAGACTCTCCGTAAGCGTGAGAATCAACTACAGAATTTGAATGAGCTCTCTTACCAGCACACATTCACAGTAACTCTGTTGTTTGCAGCACAGTCCCTTCAAGCATACGAAAGTACCACAAACCAGACAAACAGCAGGATCTTTAGGAACCTTGGTGCAAACAGTACAAGTCTTTCTGTGATAATACTGAAAAATGGTATTGTAATTCTCAGGCAACTGAAGGAGGCGTGGCAGGTCCCACTTAGGCTCCTGAATGAGCAAAGCCTACAGATGAGATAAGAACAATGCGTCAGTTCTGCACACACATTTATGCATTTATATTTTCTAAGAAAAGAGAATACCAAAGAAAGGAAACGTGCAGTTTCAAAATCTCTCACTTCTGCATTTCACAAACTTAGAAGTCAAAAGTCACCTTGGCCAAAACAGTCACCTGGCTCTGGCTGAGCACCCTCCCCAGCTGTGGTCACCTTCCACCTTTTGGAACGGGTGCGAAACGGGCGCGAGCTTTTTCCCAAGGACGTCTTCTAAGTGTGATGCTTTTTAAGTGCAAAAATCTTCAGAGCTAACACAAGAGGATTAAGACCCATCTAAGGGAAGGCTCTCACTCGCTGCACTAAGTTATCTTGACAGCATCAACACACTGCTGCCAAAACCTGGCACTGACCACGAAAGCTGTCTCCTAGCTAAAATTTAAACTAAAACTTTCAAAGCCAGAACTGAAGTTCGGCTCTGTAAACAATACCTGAAGACATCTGCTTGGTTTTCAAAATTGTGTTGCACACAAATTCTGAGGCCATTAGGAACTTAGCAGCACTCAGAAATTTTTGAGAGTGCAGGCACTACCTAAATACTGTTTTCAAAGCCTAGCTCTTCTCCTCTGCTCCTAAAAACACGGAACAATTTTGTTTTGTCTGGGGATTTTTTGGTTGTTTTTTGGGGATTTTTTGGACAGTATTGTGTTTTTCTTTCACCCGCTCATGTTCACTGGCTGTATAACTGATGGGCATAGGGGTCAGATGGGATCTTTCTTGCAAGGTGTACAATCTTTTGAAGTGTGCATGACCTCAAAGCCTAACTTGAAAGAAAGAAAAAAAGAGGGGAAAAAAGGGAAAATTGCATTTGTGCCCAGTTCCTTATCAATCATGGAAAGAATGCCACCAGTTTCACTGTGGTTTCTCCAAAATGCCTATCAGATTGGCAGCAACTATATTTTAGGATTAATCAGAGTATTCCAATTCTCATTCTCAGTAGCCTAATTCATGCCTGCAAACATGCAAAGGCAGGTGCAGAGTGAAGAATGCATCTGGCTTGCCTCTGACACCATAAACTTAGGAGAGGGGGACCTGAATTGTTGAGATGCAGCTCCTTCATAAAAGCAATGCAGTAATGTTGAAACATTTCCATTCCACAACTGATACTCCAATTGCACTGACTCAAGCCTTGGTATTGTTTCTTTAACCTTCAGAGAAGATGTACCACCTTTAACAGTCAACTTTTAAACAGGTTTTATCCTTTTTGTCTTTTTCAGTACTGCAACGGAAGATGCTCAGAACTATCAGTGATGTCTAACAGGCAAGAAAAACTTCAAGTATTTTCTTGAAAGAGAGAATTTCTGTTACATGCCCTTGGTAGGCTTCCAATGCAGAAGATACGGGTACACTTAGTATCATCTAAGTACAGCATTTCTGGTTTCTGTCTCCAGCAATCATATAAAAAGAAGATAGGTTTTTTTATTCCTGTTTTTAACCAATTAAACCCACATCCAATAAGTAATATTTCTGACTACAATTTCTCTCTCATTTACAAATGAGGTTCTCAGATCCTTATCCAAAACAACAGTGCATGTGCATACTGATTCAAGCATTGAATACTTGCTTCCCCATCAGCACGATGTTGGGAGAAGTAATTTTGCTACATACCTTTACTTGATCTGGGTGTCTATCGGCAAACGAAGCCAATTCTGAGCACCACTGTGATACCATGTCAAACGCTGGCACTGGCCAGTCAAGACAAGAGGCACTGGTGAACTGATGAGCCGACTGAAAAGATGGCAACAGGCCCAGGCAGCTTGCAAGAACTGTGAATTCTTCATCTTCCTTTTAGGTAAGAAACCAGAGAGTTTTCAATTATTACCTGAATTTTAAAAAATGTGTCTATTGCAATAACAGTAAAGATGTTCTAGTACAATGATGCTAATATACATGTTCAGAGACAAAAGAAAACTTCCATTCTTTCCAAATTACCTCAAACGAGGTTCTCAAAATACAAGAAAACTGGTCAGAATTAAACAAATATAAACAAACATAAACCAAACAAAAAAAACCCCCACAAACCAAACCCCAACAAAACCCACAAATCCAAGAAACAATAACCAAAAAAACCCCAACCCCCCCCTAATAATTTTCTTCCTGTTTAGCACCCCAAACCAACTTGTAGTTGTTTCAGAGATGTGATGGTTTTGAGACAAGGAAACAAGGGAGCTGACCTGCAGCAAACTCTACTTAAATCAGTCATGGAGCTTAAACATAATTGTGTGCTGATGCAATTCCTCTGAGAATAAAGTCCAAGCATTAACAGGCATTAAGCAAAATCAGGACTGAATTCCAGTCTGTGTGGGAATCATGCCATTTCTGCAAATGCCAGACAAGTTTTAAAAGTATGTTGGTATTTTATGAGAAAGGCATCTACGACCTGATAAAATAAGCCTGTATTTGCTGAATTTTAAGGATGTAGTACCATTTTCAGTGAAACTGCCTTGAAAACAAATTTATAGAAGAGAAACACTGCTGCAGAGCAATACTATAAAATATGATAAAAAACATCTTAGGATAGAAAACACATACCATGAAAAAGACACCTTAAAAGTCTGATTTTTGATCTCTAGCTTTTAAATAAAAACATTTGAGTGTGCCCCTCCCAATCTGTACCTGGCAACTAGGTAAATCTCCTCCAAAAAGATGGTGTTGAAGAAGGCTTGTGATCCTGAGGAAAGGCAGGCAGAACTGCTGCAGATAGCACTCCACAGAATCAGGATTTACCTGTGGGGGAAGGACACAATTACTGAATTTTGCCACAGATAAGTTGCCTCCTATGTAAGAAACTCCAACATGAACCAAATGGTTTTAAGCAAACTGTATCAATCACTGCATCAGACATACATTCCAAAGGCCAGCATTTCACTGGTAATCTGAAAGAACTCAGTGGGTTTTCTTTCCCCCTTGACAAGTGTTTTTTTCTACTTAAAGATTCGGTTTTCCAAGTTTCTGAAGGGTCTGTCATACATACAATTAAAAACTACAATTAAAAGAGGTATTTGTCTAACTTTCTTAACACAGCACTGGCCATGTATGATATCAGTATAAGAAAGATTTGCACGGGCAAATTGTCCCAAAGGGATGTGCTTTGATCTAGAAGATAAAGAGTTGTACTGCAGTCTTTAGCAAGATCAGAGAAAAATCATTATAACAACGAGGCTGAAAAACTTTAAATAAGAGACACAACGGGGACATGCTGGGTAAGTTCTCAAGAGAATTGGCAGTACCACTATGAATTCTTCAGTCTCTCCTTCTTCGTATATCTTCCCCTTAGACAGCTCACTAATCACATGACCCAGCAGTGCTTCCCAAGATGTTTCTCCACTGGATGTATTCTGCAAATGAGGAGGAAAGAAATCCAAAATGCACTGGTCATGAAAAGGAGAAAAAGTCCCTGTGAAAGTAACAGCGATGAAGTATTCCTCTTGATCACCACATGAATTTTGACCTACAGAGATACACATTGTTTAAAAAAAAAAAAACAACACAGTTTACAGAAAGAGAATGCATTTAGCTCACAAAGTGAAATGTGAACTGCTACTTCAATTATATATGTTCTAAACCGAGCGTTGTATGAAAACACTTCTGTAATGCTGCATTTCCCATGTTTTATCTGCGAGTATAAAAAGGCTTGCTTTAAAATTAGGAAGAATCACTTTATGGATGCATCCTGTTCTGGCAGAATTTGAATTTAATATAACTAATTTCAAACAAAGTAATTTTCTGAAATGTACCAACAAGAATGAGTTACAAAACACTTGATAATGTATTCTAAGTTGAAACAAGTCTATCAGAAAATGCAATGCTATCTCTGGAATGAATATCTACTACAGATGGGGAGAAATATTTAGTGAAAAGAATAAATAGCCACTTAGCTTTGTGCCACAACGTTTACATTTAAAGGCAATGATTATAGAAAGCCATCAGAAATAGGAAGCAGTATTCCTACATTTTTCTTTTAAGTCATAATCAATTCTACCCCAGAAAAACATGATTTTTGAGCTTTTAGTATATCATCAACATAACAAACAATTGGGGAGTGGAACATTACTGGGATTATTTTAAAAAATCCAAAGCAACTAGATGGGATTAAATGTATAAAGACTTTAGTATGTAACAATGCATATAATTAATCGGTTGGTTTCTCTAATGCATTTTGACATCAACTAGAGTTGTTCATTTTAGCTGGGGTCTTCACTGTTTCAGCATTGGGAGGCAGACTTGGTGTTTATGCTCACAGTCTAAGAACTGGAAGGCAGCACATATTTACATCAGTAGTTAGGACAAACCTTTCATCTATATTATTCCTGGAAGTTTATTCCACAGGCATTTACAGCGCACTTCTTGTGACACCTTGCAAAGATAATGACAGCGAAGCTGGGAATGAGAAGTAGAATATCCACCTCTCAGCCCTGCTGAGAAATTAAACTCTTAATGATGTCTTAAACTCTTGTCTGATCATTTGGCATGAATATAGAGGAAAGGCTTCAGCTCATGCTTAATGTCTGGAATACCAAACTGAAATAGATTCACTTGGCATTATCCACAGACAAAAGTTAAGTAAGGTGTGATCTGTGTAGACATCCTGGGATCAAAACGTCAGTATGATCAGCACGTAAGAAAAAGCCAGCGTGAACCATACATTTTAAGCCATTTGGGCCTCAAGAAACTTTAAAGAATGAACTTAGATTTGTAAACTAAAATCCAGCTTCCCTTGTGACGTGCAAAGAGAAAGGATTGATCTGAGGACCGTGGCAAGGCTCAGGAAGAGAAGGGCTGCCAGTGGGTTGCGAGAGAGGAACAAGGAGCTGTGCCATTACTGCTGGCCACACACACAGGTCCAGGCAGCAACACTAGGCAGGAGGAGGAGCAGGAAACTGGAGACATCTGGGAAAGGGCGAACTCGCATGTGGGACTTTTGCAAAGCCTCTGCACTTGGGGTGGATTATCACTGGGGTGGGATGGAAGCCAAGAAGGAATTAAGGAGTCCCTGAAGGCCTGAGGATCACGCAGAGATCACCCTAAGCGCACACGGCTAAGCTGCTGTCAGAACTCTGTACACAGATAACCTACACACGCAGACGAGAGGGAGGAGGAGGGTGTTTTCAAGGGAGAGTGAGAGATGCTGTCAGTACAGCACATATGTAGCAGGAATCAGTGTTCATATCTACCTCCTACCTGTTTTGCTCTCCCACTTGGAAAACTGTCAGCCTTCGATGGGCTTCTCACAGGAGAAAAGTCAAAATTCTCAAACTGACAGAAGTGAATCTGTTGTGTTATCTGAATTACACTAAATCACAACAGTTATTCACTGTAACACGCTGTTGATGCGCTACTATTTCCCACTTGGCCTTATCATCCATCAAAGACAAGCACACTAGAGAAAATTCCACTCAAATGGACTGCATATCAAGAGAGATGGCTACTTCATAAATCCATTATCTGAGCCCTTATCATAATTTGCGAGCCTCAAGTACAAAGTGCTTTAAGTGAATCAAATGCTTTCATTTGCCTCTGTAAGAAAACATCTTAGTATTAATAGGTAGCAAGCCCACCTACCACATGCCTTAAGTCTATTTTCATACAATAAAATCTCCTACTGTAGGCAGAAAATCAAACATAGTAAATACATGCTCAGATAAACTAGTACTAAAAAAGGCAGTACATGTTTATCATATGGACTATGAAAGAATATAAGCTGGTAACACTGTAATCTATTTATATGCTCTCTACCATGAACTTTACACCACAAAATTATCTATCACTTAGGAATCACTTAAGTAAACAGAAAAAATGGAAAAAACCCTGATCAGCAAAAATCTCAAGCAAATGTTGTAGAAATTCTAAGAAAACGACCATATATTGAAAAAGAAGAGGGAGCTACCAAAATGCAGCACTGCCCAGGGATCTCAAATGCTTAATGCAAGTCCAGGGGAAAAAACCTCCTTCACTGTAGCAGTCTGGCCAGCAGATAATTTGTGTTTACTGCCTTGGAGCTGTGACTGACCAGTCTGACTAATCCAACTTATATGTGAAAAGCAGGTCATGCTTCTCAGTGTGCATTTCCTTGTACAGCCAACATAACCTAAGGCCCAGCTGTTACGTGACAGGGTGTTCCTCCTCCCATTTCCTCTCCTGGCCCCAACGCTTCCACCCTTTCCCTTGGTCTGGCACTGGCGCTCTTCTGACCTTCTGGGGAATCAATCCTTGGAGGAGAAGACTGACTGAAGGATTAAATGAATGCCAGTGACAGTGCAGGGAACTGGCTGAAATGAAATAGCAAGATATGCCTTCACTTTACTTGTAAATACTATCAAATGGCAAGGAAACAATAGTGAAATGTTTACCTGCCTAGTCCACAAATTTCTTTCTCTGCTTCTTCATCACATGAACACTCTAGACCACTTATCAAGACGAATTTATACAGCTAGCCAGAAACAGCATGAACAAATAATTTCTCCACCACTAAGCTTGCCTGCTTCTCCTGTAGAGTGCATCAGATCAACCCATGGCTTTCCGAGGAAGGCTTTAATATCACAGGAAGGAAAGCTGCGTTTACTCAATACCACTGCAGTAAACTCAGTACTGAAACTACAGAGATACAGCCCCAAATCTGAAACTCGGTCCTGGAACTAGATATTCCCTGTGAAGCTTTGAAATCTCATCACGTACCAAAATCTGCAAAATTTCACATGCAGCAGAAGCAAATTATTATATGCAAAGCAGAAGTCATCTGTTCTATTCCTACCAGAAATACATAAGCTACATATCATAGATGTTTTAACAAATCAACCAACCTTTTTGAGAGCTCCTGACTCTTTCCATGCCATCCTATCTTCAGCACTGCATTTAACAGAAAGTGCTGCCAAGGCTTGAGTATACAGTAAAGTGAACAGCACTTTTATAATGCAGGTGAAGTGTTCTGTAAAACAAAGAAAGTAGTTTTTAAGCACTTGATATTTTTAGCAAATGCACTGTTTACAGACTTTCTAGTTATGGAAGTTATGCTTCTCACGTGAAAAGCAAGTGCTGTACAAAAAGTACAACCCCCCCAAGCATATAAAACACCGTAAATATATTTACTGGCTTTCAAAAATGACTTGGCAGCCGTAGTGAACAGAACAAGTACAGGGCAAGTAATTTTCTACTGCTCAATATGTTCATCTTGATCCTGATCAGCAGTGGCTTCCTCCTAGGGACCCGATGATATTACAAAATCCTATTTTATCCAAACGTTACTATTTAAGCTACTGGTTGCTGATAGCTACAACTAATTGGGTGCTGTAGATGTAAGCAAACGCATATCCTACCATCTCTTCTGGCAATGATTAAACCATCTGGGGTAAGTTACATTCATACAAACACTGGAGAAGTTAATTACGAAAGAAATCACTGCAAGGAGGACATTTGGTACACTTCAGTTTCTATCCCTTCACTTCCAGATATGGATCCAGCCACAGAAGATCTGCTGCAAACGGCTCTTGACTGAGTACTTAATTACTGGACCTCCAGTGAATACAGGAGCACAAAAGACTGACTGTCACTTCAGAACTTACCTTCTCTTCAAGATCTTTAGTTGTTTACAGTTTTTGTAGTATTTAAAGGATTATTATATCCTACCTATAGGCCGCAGGAGAAAGGCTTTGCAATGTTTTGGGGAAGCTAGCAACAGAGTTAACAAAATAAGACTTTCTAACAATTGAAGAGCAAAAAATGTAAATACGATCATTCTCTGAAATACCAGAAATATCTGAAAGATACGTAGCAGTCCTTTTTTCTCCTCTTACTTGAGGTTGCATTTCCCATCGCATCCCAAATAATCTGTTTTGGTTTTTTTCAGATCCAAGCAGATCAAAGAAGTTTCTATCATCATTTACACCATTCCTTAAGCACAAACATAACTATAATATCTAAAACAATGTATACAAAATTAAGAGGTTTAAGAAGACCTCTCAGGCTTTGAAGTCAAGCAAAACAATTTTATTTACATAAGCACCTCACAAAAATTGGGTTAAATTCATTCTTTCTTCCCAAAGGATTTAAACAAGCTTTTTATGTGAAAATGAAAAGGAGGTAAGGTAGATGAAACTCCTTGTTTCTCCCTTCTTGTAGCCAATATCAAAACCCACCACTGGTTCTAAATCAAACACAGCCAGGACTTGAGTACATAATTAAATTTGTGAAGTAACAACTGCTTTTTTATGTAACAAATGTTTACAAATGAATGCAGATGTAGATTTTGAAACTTTTTAATGTCCCTGAGTATACACAGTAAGAATAATTTAAAGGATCATTTGTAACGATACATTAAAAGTGTACTTTTTCTGCATCATCTTCCTGTGAAGCTTATGCTAGACACAACCAACTCTGCTGTACTTCATCTGCCCCGTTCTGGATCAGGTACCATCACCACCATTTTTCCCTCTCCACATTTCCCCAGAAGGAGAATTCACCAGATCCCATGAGATCCTCAGGCTCTACTTTTTTTTGTTATTTTTTTCCTCTGCTGAAACCTCCATTTTCTTCGCAATCCTCCTCCTACGGAGTAACAGTTTGCAAGCTTTCAGTAAATTTTCTGAGGCCGAGATCTACACGACTAAATCACATGCACTCAGTTGTAAAACTTGCCTCTGCGGCCTGAGCTACAGTCTGCCATTGCAGCTAGAACTGAACTCAGGCACTGAGCTCAATCTCCATCAGCAGCAGGGACAAGCAGTAGAGATCAACTTTACCCTGTGAAAGTGTAAGTGACATCCACTGTACCTACAGCAGCCAAAGAGTGTGGGCCAACATCCACCCATCTGCCACAGCCCCACTTCATCTTCCACTTCTTGCTCTGGCCTGCTGAGGTGATTACCCAGTGCTCATCAACACTGGGTGTCTTAGCATCCTCTAGAACTAAGGTGTCTTTTAGAACGTAGTTTTTGTCTAATGTAATTACTCCTTGTTCCTGTCCTCACCTTAATACTAATTGTTCACAAGAAATGTTATTTCTAGCATGTATTTTGGGTTTTTGAAATAATGTCATGTATTTCCTTACAGTTTCTGTATGCTATTGCATAGTCATATGTTGCAGAAAGGTGTGTGTGGGGGTGTTGAACTGAATTTACAAGGACAGGTTGTAGTTTTGTTAAATACCGAGCCACCTGCTCCATTTCTGTACCAGCTTCCTTCAGATGCAACACCGCCTTCTATTTCTGTAAGAAAGAAGCTAGAGGTTCTAGAAACAAAATCCTAATTTTCTAGAGTCCCAATTCACAATGTCATGAACACTGTCCACCATCCGCACAAGTGCCACAGAATTAAACCACACACACCTATGTAACTGTGTGTTCAGTCCTGCACCATTTCAACACGCTGAGCACATGAAGCCCATGAAAGCTCTGCCCGTGTTCTAGTGTCAAACAAAAACTAAAATTCACAAATGGTCTTGGCATCTTGAAGCCAATGTTTATTTTGCTGGTTACACCACACAGAAGTTGCACACTATCTTCCTCATTTCTAAATTGCTACGTGCTTGTAAAAGCCTGGACCTCCACCACAAAGTTTCTACCATTAAAAAAAACAAAGGGATTCAATTTGTAGTGCTCTTCCTTTGCGATGTGTTCAGATCAATTTTCCTCTCTGAATGAGGAGGCTGAACAGTAACAACATTGTTATTGCTTTAATCGATGCTGGATTAGAAAAGATACCAGCACCCATCCAACAGTTAACAGCGTAGTTAATGCGACTGCTAGCGCTCTGTCTGAAGATTGGGTCCTCCTTACAGAGCACTCAGTGTTCTTAAAAAACACAGTCTAAACAAAAAGGATTTTGAGTGCAAACATGAAGGTTTAATATTTGATGAAATAAAAGTTTCTCTGAATACATCAACACATGTCATCAATGATCCTCCTAAACCAGTACCAGTACAGGAGAGCGCCCATACTAAGAGAGAGAAAGTCTTTCATGGATTCTAAACCTTCCCTTTTCCTTCGTTATTAGCGCTCTGACAGCACTACCACGGCATTCTGCACCACACTGCACCACGCCTCTCCTGCATGCAGCGAAGTCATCGGTAAAGGGTACGTCGGTGTCTGTCAGGGCAAACCAGCATCCAGCAAAGCCCACGGCTTCCATACCCCACAGCCAGCCAAAGCAGCTCAAAGTTCGGGAAGCACCAATGTAGATTTTATTCACCTCTATCACTGACCTCCACTTGTGACCCTGCACAAGCCACTTCACCTTTTCATGACAGCTCTCTACCAAGAATTAATGATATCAAATTCAACTCTGTGACCTGTGCACCATTACAAAAGTTCTAAACAAATTTGTTGTTACCTATTTTTCTGAACTGCATTCCAGATCTCAGAACAAAGAAATCATGAAAGACTTGCTTTTTATTCTGCCTAACCATTTTATGAAGCAAAAATTAGAAAGATAAACGACAATTTATTTCCAATTTAATGCTTCATGGGTCTGAAGCAGTTACGTTCATCTTCTTCCTGCCACTTGCCATTTCCCTTTCAACTGCAACACACACTAAACCTAAGAGCAAAGACCGAACGTGCTGTGGTATCTTACACAATTCTCCACAGGATGCCTGACTTGACTGAATGCTGCCTTTCCCAGGATAAGGTTGTACTTCCATAAATGGTGTTTTTCAATGCTCGAATATAAACCACAAAAAGACCACTGTTTGTACTGTGGCAGCATTACTCCCTTCCCTGTATTTCAGAAGAAAGTGAGAGTGAGTCTCATTAAAATTTTGTTTCCTGCTTTTATTAAGTCCTTCCAGTTAATTTAAGTTAAACTGTAGTAAAAACAAAGAGTCTATTTTTGACAATAGGCTTCCTATTAAAAATGTTTTGTTCTCCTGGTGTTTTCATATTCTAGTAATTTATTGGAAATACTTAATCCATAAACACGTACATTGACTTGAAAAACCACAACCCATAATGTTAACAGATACAGAGAGTCACTTGAGCTGAACCTGAACATTCAGTGACGACTGAAGACTCCCAAAGTGGGAAGAGTCTCTAGAACACTTCGTACGTTAGGTGTATGCATCAAGAGCAGAGCAGTCCCTGGACTGACCTATTCACAAATTACCAGAACTCAGTGGGTATTGAAATCACCACACAGACCCCAAAGCAGATTCGCTGTTCATTGGCAGTGAAGGATTAAAAAGATACTTGACTGTTTGTTCTCATTTTGAAATAAAGGTGTAACAACTCTAAGTAATCAAGCCAGAGACCAGAGGGGCTGAACCACCTGTCTTCTGGAGCATGCACTGCCCATCAGCGAGATGGACCAGGTTCCGCTGGTCCTTTATACAGAAAAAGAAATTTGGGGTGTAAAACAATTTTGATTTTAGTAATGAAAAACCTCAGTTCTTAAATACGTGTTAAATATTTACTGCAAATTGTACTATATGCTGTCTCCATTGAAGTTGCTGCATCACAGCAATTATCATCACCATCATCTATGACTTGCTATTCTTATGTAAGACTGCTGCAGTTTAAACTCTGAAATGCAAACTAAATGACAATCTTTCACCCTTAGGCACTCAGTTCTACTTCACTATTGAGCTGCCCCTCTAAGCAAACGGATGAAGGTGAAACAAAGGACACTTCCTTCAGCAAAAGTACGTAATAGTTTTTGCTCAGCTCTTGCATCCTTACTGAACAGGCTGACTGATAAGGACAGGGGACACAGATAAGCCTGTCAATGCACAACAAAAACTTCTGTTCAATGCCACCTTCTGTAGATAAGGCAGATACATTATTTTAGAATACACAGCAGACAGGCTGTGCGTTAACACCATGGAAATCACCACGAATGCAGCCTCATACACATAATCATCTAAATACACTTCTTTTTATAACATACCTTTGTGCAATGGTTGAGGCATGGTTAAAATCTGGATAAGCAAAAGGGATGAGACGTCTCTGTAAAGCACAGGAACTTCTGGCAGCTCTTCACTTATCAGCCTGGAAAGAAAACTCAAAGAAAATAACGTCTGATACTATAAAGCCATTTTTCCTTTTAATATTTTATTTTAAATAGTATTACATTTAATATCAAGCTTACAGAAGCCAAGTGCCTGACAATTCTCTAACTGAACTTGATCTTAAGACCATTTCATTTTACTAGTGGATTGTAATAACTCATGAGGAAGTTACCGTTTGGGTACCTGATCCTTGTTAAAGTATTTTAAAACTTTCCAAAACTGCCTGAAGTAGTTATTCCTATGCACAGACTCAACAAACATTCAGTATTGCACTTCTAGAACTTACAGCCTGAAATAAGAATATATAGAACATATTAACGCAGTAATTTAATTGGTGTTCAACGCGTGGCATTCCACAAGTACACCTACATAGCCATGCTGCAACAGCAACTAATCCCCAAACCACATTAAGGTTACAGAGATTGCTCCTACTGGAAAAACCGAGGCCCTAGAAAAGGTATCACCTTCTTTTACGTAAGGAAACAAAGACTCAAGCAGCCATCCCAGGTGGGATTATATCATCTTACACCTTGTCTTTGTTAAAAACCCCCTATGACTAGAACAGCAAATCAGCACATAAGGAGATACTGCAAACTTCTGAACTATTTGGATTCAATGAATGCCGTAACATCACCTTGTAGTCTTACACTAAAGAGCAGAAAATATTTGCAGATAGGAGGTAGTATTTTTCTAGATTGGTGTAGCAATATCCAGTGATAATCCAACTATTCCACAGGCTCAACTGCTCAGTCAAAATGGTGAAGAATTATTCGTATTTATATATTTTGGCCTCAAGTTGCACCAGAGGAGGTTTAGGCTGGATCTCAGGAGGAATGTCTTTACTGTAAGGGCTGTCAAGCATTGGAACAGGCTGCCCAGGGAGGTGGTGGAGTCACCATCCCTGGAGGCATTTAAAAAACAGCTGGATGTCGTGCTCAGGGACATGGTCTGGTGGTGGACTGAGGGCTGGATCGATGGTTGGACCCGATGATCTTAAAGGTCTTTTCCAACCAAATCCGTTCTATGATTCTATCCCATATTCTGGTCACGTTTAGTTGAACACCTCTTTCCAACAGGGTTATCAGCATCATTTAACAGTCATGTAAAATACCAGTTCTGACAAAATTAAGAAGTAGTTTTATATAGAGAGGACACGGTGATTGGTAACATCACAAATAAATGAACTCATTTTCACATGTGGGACCAAGTGAAGTCTTTGTCTAATTTATTCATTTCACATGAACTGGAGAAGTAAAGCTACATTCAATGTCAGGGGTTTAGATGAGCTGCTTCTGTTTACGTCAAGCGCTGCAGCAAATGAAGCACTTAAAAACTGCTCTGTCATTTGTTAAGAGCCTAAGCAACACTTTCATAATGACACTGAAACTGCATTTATAGAATGTGTTTATAAATGTGTCTTATGGAAACTGCCCATCCTATTAATCCCCAATGCACGTGTGACAGCTTGATAAATCTGACTTTACAAAAACTGTGCCACAGAAGCACTGACTAAAATGAAAGCAAATACAGTTTCAGATTAGACCAAAATAATATAGAATGATTCAAACGTACTATAGCTGTACGCTGTATCCATTTCAAGAAGTGTGGAGGGAGGTGGAAATAAACTGCCCAGTGCAATAGAAACAGGCACCAAAATGGAAAATGCACTGCTCGACTTTCTGGACAGCGCTGACCTCTCCTCCAGGCCAAGGTGACCGGGCTGCAGCTCCCTCTGTGCCAACACCAGAGCTGCCCGGCAGCTGAGAGCTCAGCAACTGCGCCTCTGCATTCTGCACCCTCTCCTGAGGAAAGTTCTGTTCTACCGTGAAACAAGCAGCATTTGCTTATGGCATTTCTTACATATATGCTTCCCTTCCCCTCTTCTCTCGGCTGCAGACACTCAAAACTTTTGTTTTATGCTAACTCCAACTGATTATAAAGTGAGAAAGCCAGTAAAAAAAGTGGAAGTTTTGAGCCTCACACCTCTTCGAACTTTGAGATACAGAAAACCCAAGACATAGGGATATGGATACTGCTAAAAAAAGGCTTTATCAACTAGGGCAAATTTATACTCTTTTCAGTATTTGCAGGATGAGAAATACAGCCCAAAAATCCCAGCCTGCAGAAAGGTCAGAGTAATACACAGCTTCTGATGTTCCTGATAAGAAAGCAGAACTCTACTGTTTATTCTGGCTACACTCTAGGATATAATCACAGTTTCATATCTGCTCTTCATTATGTCACAGCAGATTTTACAGCACATCAGTTTTCTCATTACACAACACAGGGTTTCACTGACAGTACCAATATTAGGCATCTCCTATTCTGTCTTTCAGCACTGTGTCCCCAGCACTTTGTTGTCACCCACTCTCATACTTATTCAAATGAACCTTTTTAAAAACATAGATCAGTTCCCTCACTCTGTTCATGATGCAGCCTGCTCAATTCACATCAGCACAGCTGAAGGTGGTGAGCTACAGTAGAAGGGAAGGAAGAAACAGCCAAGAGGAAGCAGTCCTGAAGCAGGCATCCCGTCAAGCCTCTGTATCATCACCTGAGCCCCAAGACCTTGGTGTTTCAGGCAGGATTTGTGTGTTTATCGAACAGGTCTCGTAGGTCCTGCTGCAGCATGTGTGTGTAGCCACCACCTCTTGCACAAACCCACTGTCCCATCATGCTACTGTCTGTCTGCCTTGGACTGTCTTCATAAGAACTGTTTTCTTTTTCCCATTTCACAACAGTTTCTGTGATGGAGATGTGACTGAGGAGGTTCCCCCGCACAGCTGCTCATTCTCATCCCTGTGCTGCAGTTTGTTGCCCAGCATGACAGTATGAACAACCACCAAAGTGCTCCAGCTTAGCACACAACAGCAGCAAAACGCTGTAGTAAAAATAACGCAGTGCATTTCAGCATTTCCGTTTACCATGCAGTTTCCCCCCTGCAAGTGCTTCTACTGCAAAGATCTTTAATGCTTTACTGAATCATTCTTTGCCAACACATTTTGTCTGTCAAAACAGACACAAACATTTCAGCTTTCATGGAGATGTAAATTTAAAAAATGGATATCCCTTTATTTCAGGGTTGCCATTCCTGAAACTCTGCCTATCTGACACCAGTCCATTAAATGAACATCTGGGTTTAGTAATTACTGCCTCCAGCTGCTCCTTCTCTGCCCCCTGCCAGAAGCCATTATTCTCCACTTACACCACAATAATTGTGTATTTGAGCACCCTTTAAGCCAGACCTGCCCCCAGTAGAACTATTTGCTCAAGCACAGCCTGTGGGACCAAACGTGTATTAAATTTAACGACATGAACTGCACAGGAGAAAGGATCCACTCTACCATCCACAAGTTCATCAGACTTAGCTCTATCTTTTTGCTTCCCTCTTCTTTCAAACAGCTCACATTATTGAGGCCCTTTCTGATAGGGTATCTTCTCAAAATTTCCTTATTTCTACTTTGCCTTGGTGTGACTGCAAGAGCTCCTTCCTATCTCTCCTCTCAGCTGCCATTCAAACTATGCAGCAATTTAGGTGCAGACGTAGATGATGACACCAGGCAACCCTAGGGGCTTTGGGAAGTACGGTACAGCAATGCTGGGAAAGTCTTTACAAATGGCTTTGATCAGTTCTCCCAGACACAGGAAATCTAAGGCATGATTGATGAATAAACATATTGGGTTGTGGAGAACAACGCTAAGAATTGTGAGCTCTGTACCCAAGTAGTTTTAATTGTAAATATTTATGTATTTAAATAAAGTAACTACAACTAAGTAAGGGTGAAAAGATAATGCAATAGCACCTGTATCCCATAGACTTTTTGTTTTTAATTTAAAGTAAAAAAACACTGACAAATACACAGCTGGATAGGCACTAAAGAGTCTTTTCAACATTACTGCAAGCTACAAAGTGGGGACCTGAGCTATGAAGAAGATGCTCCAGGTGCAAAGAGAAGAAAAAAACGCTGTTTTCCTCTTATAAGGAAAAAGAGCCATCTGGTTTTAGGCAGGAAACCTTTCTTCTCACCAACAGAACAGACCTTGAAAAGGGAAGGGGTTTAAGTCAAGTAGGGAGGTGAGTCCCTGTGGAACAGACACAGGGCTCCATTCGTTGTATTGTTAACCCTCGTACAACTGTGTATGTAAAGTAAACGTTTTAAAAGCAAATTCAGGTAAATAACTTGCTTAAAATAACAAGCATGATGGAATTTTTTTAGCTTCAAGTAGAATAACTTCTCACATATATCAGGCCTACTGATATTATTGGTGTAACAGCCATCAGTCATTGCTCAACTTCCAATAACCTACCTATGAACTTAATCTTGATAACTTTGTCTGGCATCCGAACTAAGAATGGCAGTGCACCTCTCCACGTACCTAATACTATTAACTTGGCATGTACTTGAGCTTGTAAGTGGTGTATTTAAGCTTTAACTCAGAACTGGGATGTGTACAACTAAGTAAAAGAAACCTGAAAGCTTATTGTTAGAGATACATACCCACAGTTTTTGATGTTAAGTTCATTACCTCTCAGAGAACTTAAACTAGGACAGAAAGTGACTCAAAGTCCTGCCCTGTAAGGATGTTTCTTTCACAAGGTAAAACTGATATTTGGTAAATTAAAATACTTGCTCTGAATTTTTATCCGGCACCGTCTGTGTAAGTTTTCTCCAGGGATTGTACGCAGAATCTATGCTGTAGAGCCGCATGTGCATGGCCAACACATGGAACAGCTGATCTGAAAGGTGAAGAAGACAGATTGCTGCTTATTACGCACAATGACATGAAGTATTTTACATTAAGTTGACATCATTTATCACCCTAACAAACATCTTATTATCATCTCTTTAAAGACAGTTTTGGAGTAAGATTTCAATCGAAGGCAGAGAAGATAAATGCACATATATGATAAAGTGGTTTTTTCCTCTCCTGAAATCCTGAAGCAGGTTGAAGGGCTGTTTAGAAAGCTCTGACCAGGTATGGCTGCACCACGCTGCTGCAGTTCCACGCTCACTTCACTTCCTTCTCCAGTCCAGGCCAGAAGCTGCGATTAGTTCCTAACATCTCTAAACAAAGCCTGACACACTCCCATTGCAGCTTTCACTCCTCTCTCTCACAGTTAAGTTCTGCGCACAACATATTTGACATGAACCTAAAGTTGTTCGAGGTTCTGGCCTATAGCAGCATCACTTCAGCTCTTCATCCCTAAAAGGTTCTTGTTCCTTCTGCCCTCGTAAGGTTACTTTGTAAGTAACTTTTGGAAGAGGAAAAAAAACTCCAAACACCTGACCATGCCACAGCGACATGAGTTAGCAACGGTGTTAAAAACTGCAGAGATTTATCTGCACAACCTGTGGGCAAGGTCTGCTGACATTCGTCAACTCAAAACATTCTCTACAGCCACCGTGTCAAAAACCCCATTTGCAAAACCGTTCCAGAAACTTTTGAACAAAAGATGCTGTTTGTTGTTCCTGCACGTGACTGCAGTATCACGTATTAAAATGCAGTTTTCATTTCTATATGAATCATATCAACACAAATGAATGTAACATTTAATCCTTTCTTCTCCTGCCCTTCACTTCTTTTTCTGTGTTTGTAATACAGTTACAGTTTGAAAAAATGCACCTGTTTTATCTCCATAGGTTTCTATTAAAAACACATAATAATATTTCCCACACTGCTCACTGTTTCCCTGCTGGCACACGATGTATTGCTGTTTGCTGCCCTGTTTGCTTCCTTCCTCCTTTTCATCCTAACTTTTTCCCTTAGTACCTTGCCACCGTCTCCCCACCACCAACCCTCACTTTTATTCTTTCAACTGATCCCTTTGCCTCCTACTCTCTTAATCTCTCTCCTTTTTGCCTTTGAGGCAGCTTTGCCGAGGCCACTTGCTCAACCTCCACACTCCCTCGCAGGTCCTCTTTAAGTAGAAATAGCAGCTATTAATTTATTTTCCATAAATAGACAATTACTCAGGAGGTCTGCAGTGGCCGAACAAGCCCCATGATGAAGTCAGCTGACAGCCAGAGCCCGAGGGCTGCAATTAGCTCCTGGGGTTTGGGAAATAATTGGAGATGTAGATGGCATTGGAAATGACTGCTGTCACCTGCTTTCTGAATAAAAACAGCCAATGAGGACAAAGTCAGTTGTATTTTCTCCTGGCAAGAGATTCTAACGAAACACGGCTTTGCTGACAAACTTCAAAACCCTGAAAATATCCTGATATTTCATCAAAGTAATTAAAATAAAACAAACAACTCTTCGGTATGGTTTCATTTGGAATGAAATGCATGAACAGATCCGCTCCTTCCCTCTTGCCTCTTCATTACTAACAGGAACGTCATTGCATTCTGAACTGCTCCTTGCCTCAAACAGAAATGGGTAACCATTAAAAAAAAAAGCTTAGCATAATTAATTAAGCCTCCGCTCCTTTAATAGCCACTTTCCTGAGCTTTTACCAACACGAAATCAAGCAGGCAGGCAACAAATTCCAGAATTGGAAAATTTATTTGCAATCTCGTGTGGCACCGATGGAGTCAAGACACATCATAACACTGACTGAACCTGAACACAACTCTTCCGTTCAGCAGCCTGGAAGGCGGTGGTTTTTGTCTGTGACTAAGGCCGCTCTCGCCCCTTTGCAAGAAGGCGTGTTTAGCATGCACACAGACAGCTAGGAGGCAGGTAACGAGACACGGCTGCAATGGCCTTTTACGATGAACTGACTCTACAGTCCCGTGCTGTTCTCGCTGCAGCACAGCCCTGCGGGTGCCTGGAGCCGGTGACCGAGGAACGCCCCGAACGCTGCAGAAAGGGGCTTCTGATCTGCCAGCTGCTTCTGCATCCCCACTTCTGAGGGGGTTTCTAACAGCTGCCAAAAGCTCAGCCCTAGCCAGAGGAAGATGCAACGGTTTATTTCTTCACAAACTCTCTTTCTATTTTACACCACAGTGACTCCAATTGCTTTACCTCAAACTTAGCAGGATTATGGAGCATTGGAGACAGCCAAGGAAAACACCAGAGCACTGAATATCCAGAACTGGCAACATCTTTGTGCACAAAATGCTTGGTGTTTCACCACATTTTTATGTTTGAGGAACTGGCAGAAATTTGCCTTGGGCCAAATGAATACCAGAGGGGCTTTTTTTCCCTGCATATTCCTGTGAATGCATAATTCCAAAACGTAAGCATAAAAATGCAGTACAGAACATCCTCCCATTTTCTTACACCCTATCTAGAAGCTATAAAATACACTTTAAAAGAGAAAACAAAACCAACAACAACACAAACAAGGAGCAGCAGAACATTAACATGACAATGGCCCACAACCAAGAACCCTGCCCAGTCTCCTGAAGAATGAAAGGGAAGGCCATGACGCCAGCAGGCACCCCAAACCCCTCCAGGCACCCCAAACCCCTCCAGGCACCCCAAACCCCTCCAGGCTCCGTCTCTCATGGCCAGTTCTCTCCCACCTTTGTGAGCAACAAAGACAAGATTTGGGTGTAGCTCAGTGTCCAAAAATAATTCTTAAACTTTGGCAAGGGGATATCAATTTTACAAAGTGCAGCAGCAGCAACGTTAGAGGATGACAGTTCTGAAGGCACAACAAAATGAGAATTACAAGTTTATTGATAACAAATTATGAAATGTAAACAGTGGAAAGAGTTTGACTATGGTCTTCCTCTCCTAACAGCTTCATCCTATCTGAGACAGGCTGCATCTGGTTAAACTGCATGAATATAAAAAAGCACAGCATTTGAATGTGCAGTATAAAAATACTGCTGCGAGTCACCAGGGGCTGGGGACGATTCCAAGATGTAGACACTGAAATGGGCAGGATTTTCACCGGCATTAAAACGGCTCAAACGTTACTTACATTGAAGCAGCACTGTCTTTATTCCCTCAATTTATTTCCATGGCCTTTGTTTTCACAGAACACACGTACAGCTTACACAGTGCACTTCACAGAACCGTCCACATTAGCAGTTAGGCACTGGCGTTAAGTTTGGGTCACGTTAGCATTCCTAATTCCATTTCTAAAAATCACGAAAATGAAGCCATTGCTCCCCACGCCGCTGCTCTTGGTACCCTGTTTTCAGCTGTTCCTACACCAGCTCTACCTCTCAGGGTTATCCCGCTGCGAGAGAGGAGCAGCAAACTCAACTGGGAGCGGTACTTTCAGAAGAGCAGCTCAAGGGGTAAGGCCCTGTCTGCACTGGGACTGAAGCTGTTGGAGGAAGTGCTCTAAAGCTGCTCCTCCCATCAGAAACAAAGATCTTGGGTATTTTGTCTGCGTACCCACACCACCTGTACAAGCACCTGCAGCTGCACTCTGATTGTACAGGTGCCAACAAAGCTCTTAAAAATATTCTGCTACGCCAAAGTGCATAAGGCAGGAGTTTATAAAGGTGACTTCACAGCTCTCTTCAGGCCTAGCATGGCATGCACAGCACAAAAGATGTCTAAATTCAGAAAGACGAACAGAGAGGGATTTGACAGATGGATGACAGAGCTCATAAATACGCTGTGCTGAACTGACAACACGAGTGATCCAGGAGGTTACACACACGTGTAAGTACATGTAAGTGTGGGTCTCACTACTAATCCTGGACTGCTGTTTGCCAGTGACACAAAACATTCTAGATTAGTTTTAAAATTTCTCTTTTTTCCACTTTCTCGACTGTAAACTCTCAAATTACCAAAGCAGAAATCAGAGGATTTTTTCCTGCTATTAATTCCACTTCCAAAAGGTTTAGTGATGTGCTGCAGTAAAAGAACAAGGGGTAGGGTTAGAAAATTAAGAGATCAGATGACTTTGTTTCACAGTTTCCAAAAGTCTAGATGGTGTGTTCATTCCCCAGTCTCTCTCACGTTTATGGTTTAGAAGGATGTAAACAACACTGTTATTTACTGCTGTCCTGAAAGAACCTCTGCTTCGCTATTTTTATCCAGTGTTGTTTTTCTTTCTGTAGACCAGCACTGATCTTTACAGTGTCAAAAGATCACAACACACAGCGACACAGTAGATCACTGGAAGTGGAACTGAAAACAGCCCTGTCTCAACTGCGCTCTGATGATCTCAGACTGGACATTACACATCCTCCTTCTCCCAGAAGTTTCCTAGGACCATCAAGAAGAATGCAGATTATACCAAAAATACTTGATACAACCAGATGGGACTTGATTGTTAATAAGGAGATTGAGGATTTTTTCCCTCCTCGTAGAGGTTTATATAGTCCAGTTAGCAACAGCAGCTGCAAAGAGCTGCTGACAGCATCTTCCCATCCATCACTGATCCAGTAGATTGCAATCAGCGAAGAAAAACAAATGTGAGGGTCAGGAAAAGCCCATTAAAGCATTAAGACATGAACAGTCTTTACAAAATCTTAACCCTTAATTGCTGATGAAGCAGCCAATTGTCCTCGACACCAAACGTGGCAGTGTAGGAAATCAAGGCTTTTAAGAAATCGTTGGGATCACCTGTTGGTGAGAAGAGCTGCTCTTTCAAAGCTGCCGTGAATGGCCGGGCACCAAAGAGCTGCAGATTGCCAAAAAAACCCAAAAACCCCCACCAAACCAAGACAAAAAGCAACACAAAACCAACCCAAAAGGCCCAAAACCAACCAACCAGCCACAGAAAGGCACTGCACCAAGGCAAAAAGCATTCCTGAAAACTACTTTTGTTATTTTTGCTTTACAGTGGCTGCAGAGAGCTGGGCAGGAATCTCTGCAACCGTATTCACATCACCAGCTCACAGGAAGGGGACAGCTGCAACTGAGCAATTCAGAAATGAATCAGTTGTTTGGTTTGTTTGGGTTTTTTCCCCTACAGGAATGAACCAAACTGAGTGGTTCCAAGGATCACAGCCATTACTATCACCATGGTTGAAAAATCTGATACAGAAGGAGCTCAGAATCTGATACATGAAGAGCTTAGTCAAGATGACTTTCTGTGCTCACAAAAACACTAAAAGCACTGATTAAACTGATCTGACATCATGAATCAAGCCAGATTACAGCACGGAGCTGTCTGCAAAACAGGTACTTTACAAATGCAGAACGCGGGCTTTCAAATGAACAAGAGGAAGAACAAAAAAAGAACAGCACGGGTTGTCAGTGGTTAGAACCTTCACAGAAGTTATGGCGGTTCTGGACACTTCCTTTAAGGTGAGCTTACACAAGTCTTAAGTGCTTTTTTGATGCCCATTTGTAAATTAATGTCCTTTCCAATTAACGCAGTTGGCGCTGAAATGCCAGACTCTGCATCTGTGGGAAGCGTACGGATAAGGAGCTTCTAGACAGCAAAACTGAAGCCAGAGGACAAGGTGACAGAACATTTAATCCTCCTCTAAAAAACCCTAATCCTATCCTTATCACAACGGGAAAAAAGAAAAGCAAGGAGCCAGAAAGAACGAGCCAATAACTATTTAAAAGTTAAAGGGAAGAAAGAACTAGATTATAAATTCATTTATAGATAACTTTTAAATTTCCTGGAATCGTTCACCCACAACGGCCAGATGACCAGAGTAGCAACAAACAGAAAACCACGTACGCACAACGTAAAGAGACACAGAAGTCGTACAGAGAAGCCCTGATTTTTCAGCCTTATCCTGTGTTCCGAAGCTGTTCTGTAAACACAAAACTATGGAAACAAAAAGCAAAACACTGGATCTTTTAAACTTTATCTAACAGAAAGGTAAGACCTGTATGGTTGTTACATATCACCGTTATCTCCTAAACCAAAGGGAATTTGCAAGGCCACAGGCTCTAAAAACTGTATCATGGTCCTTAAAATAGGACTTGATTTTTAAGTAGTAAGTAAAAGAAGACTCTGTTTGGACTTTTTGGTTGCATACTGTTTAGTAACAGACACATGCAAAACGTTAACCTTAAAATGGCACTTTTACAGTGAAATTCTCTGACGCTTAACAGCTACATTAATCATTCTTAACTTCCCTTCCCGAGAGCAGCTGCCCTGCTGCTGCAATCCACTGCAACAGCTCGTGACCGCTGTGCTCCCAGCGTCCTCCCCGACGCTCGCAGCTGCACCCGCTCCCCTGGGACAGCACACTGCTGCAACACCTAACCACCAAACCTCACGGCTGTGAAGACCAACAGAGTGGCATCCCTAATCACAGGAGAGACGCCTCACTATCCCAAAAATGGGCTGTACTTCAGATTGCTTCTGCTGGGCCTGACATGGATGGCGTTTAAGAAACAAGAGCAGTTTCAGTAATGTGCAAGCAAGACTTCAACAAAACAATACTGAAGTTCTAAATAGCGTATGGATTTTTTAAATCACCATTTCCTCACTGCATAAGGCAGTGAAGAAGTTGAAGCTAGATTTTAAGTGGAACTTTAAAAACAGGATTACCTCTTGGAAAAAGAAACCAGTATGGAAAGATAATAAAAATCTATTACAGAACACGTATCTAAAGAACCGCGATTTTTTACGTCTAAATGCACCAAGATGGAAGGGGCAATGATGGAAACACAAATAATTATGCAACGGTTTACTTAAACCAGGAAACACTCCACCAATTTCAGACGGGCCCTTGTGTGCAAGTACAGGCAAAGCAGATCACGGGGGAAAAAAATCTTCTCTTCAAGTATAGACACAATTCTGAAGACGAGGACTTACAGTTTTCCTACTGAGCTACTTCACTCTTTAAATAAACAAAGAACCTACAGTTTAACAGCAGATTTTCTGCTCTCAAAGAGTGATGCTTTTCACAAGCGCTTTTAGATTTTGGGAACTACCGTGTACTTTTGAAAGCAGCAGCTGATGGAAAATTCCTTGGGGCTTCCCGTCAGGACCATTTCCATACTTTTTAAGTGCGAGCAGTATCTCCAACTTTCTGCAGTTCCTAGTTTGTTCCAGTTATCTCTTTTGCTGAACAGACAACACTGGTTCATTTTCTGAGACATCCAGAGTTCGTGGCAGAAAGTCCATCTTGTCTTGTAGAAGGAACAGACCAGCACAGGACAATTCTCCAGTGGGGACACATTGTCCATGTGCGGCTTCCACTTCTGCAACTCTCCACAAAGAAATTTCTCCAATGATCACAGCATTCTCCACGCACTTCAAAACTCGAGGAACAGGTATCAAAACCCCCAACTGACCTTTTCACTGGCTGTCAGTGCTTACTTCTAAAGTCAAGCCCTAAGTATGTAAAAGCCCTTCTGTCCGCAAGATGATGCTGAAGGGACAGTGTGGCAAGTACAAGAAAAAGCAATGTATTACACAGACCACTCAGTGCCAGCTACCAGGCCCCAACTTGTTGGGATTTTCTTCCTCTCTTTCTTGTTCTCTTAAAAAAACCCCAAAGAAACAAAGCCAACGTTGAGGCGCTCCCTCCCCCGGTGCCAACTGACACAGTTCAACCAGAAACAGCAGAGCCGCACGGATGCACTCAGGGGAAGCTGCCCCGCGCCCCGGCGGTGCGACCGCTCTCTGCAGAGCCAAGCTTGCAGCACGTACTGACACAAGTTGGTGATAAAGCACTACGAGAAAAACCATCATCTTTTATATACGCATATAAAAAGCTTTTAAGTAAGTACATGCAACTCAAATTTAATGCTGATACGACATCAAACATTTCACTGGGTTTTAAGATGTAATGAATGTATTTGATTCCACTTTTACCTTTAAAAGAAAAATAAAACTCACATAGAGAAGCTGAAATCTCCTGACTTTGAGAAACTATCAATAAAATGAAAATATGACCTTACAGATTACAGCCCACTTCCCCGCTTACACTCTTCTAAACTTTGAAATATCAAGACTTAGAAAGATCTTGCATGGCTATGTGAAAACAAGGCTGTACTCTTGTTATATGTAAAGTCATTATAAAGTCCTTCACTTGAACCATTTCAAAAAGGCTGTCCAATTTTAAGCTGAAATCTCCACCCTAAGCTGCTCATCACGGTCTTCCAAATAACGCTCCTGTGAAATAGGCAATGTATCCAAGTGGGTTGCTAAAAGTTCAGAGAGAAAGTGCTGATCTTTCTAGGTGAGCAAAGAATTAAAATGTATCATAATTCATATAGAAATGATCTGTAGAGCCTTGATTTTATTAAACGCTTCAAATCTGCAAACCGATCTAGCGGTGTTCTTTGAACGTGCTCTGCTGGGAAAGGGAGGTGATGATGGCAGGGTGGACAATGTACAGCAGGGTTTAAAGCTTCTTTTCACAAATCACATCACGTGAATGAAACAGATTGAACTACATTTCCTAGCAGTAACACAAGGCTGTCATCCTGGAGAGGCTGTGGCCAGCTTTCTCTGGTGGCTCATCACCTCAAGTGATGGAGAAAGCATTTCTAAGTATGAGATGCAGTCACAAGCTACACCAGCACTCAGAGGAACAAACGTCTTTCTTATTACTAGCCACAGCCAGGGTGAAACAAAGCTTTCCTGTTTTACCCTAAAATACTTCTAAGTTTTACTCTTAGCTGTGTGAACTTATTAAAAAAATATTACACGGATGCTACAACAATTGATTTCCAAATGGATTCGACTCGCAACACATGAACAGCTCGAACGAATAATTGGTGCAAATTAGATTTCAGATTTCTCACATTGCAAAAAAAAAAAAAACCCAAAGACTCATTATGGCAGAAAAAAAGGATCTTTAAAAGAAAAAAGTTGACATAACTTAGAAAGAACTTTATTCTTTATTCATCTTTATTCAATAATCTAATAATTTATATTACCTCGAGAGAGGTTCTCCTTCCCCTCAGCTCTGCTCTGGTGATACCACATCTGGAATATTGTGTCCAGTTCTGGGCCCCTCAGTTCAAGAAGGACAGGAACTGCTGGAGAGAGTCCAGCGTAGGGCTACAAAGATGATCAAGGGAGTGGAGCATCTCCCTTATGAGGAGCGGCTGAGGGAGCTGGGGCTCTTTGGCTTGGAGCAGAGGAGACTGAGGGGTGCTCTCATTCATGGGGATCAATTTGGAAAGCGCAGTGTCAGAAGGAAGGAGCCAGGCTCTGCTCTGGGATGTTCAATGACAGGACAAGGGGCAATGGTCCCAAGCTGGAGCATAGGAGGTTCAACCTGAACATGAGAACAAACTTCTTTACTGTGAGGGTGCCAGAGCATGGCCCAGGCTGCCCAGAGAGGTTGTGGAGTCTCCTTCTCTGCAGACATTCAAAACCCGCCTGGACGCCTTCCTGTGTGACCTGGTCTGGTGATCCTGCTCTGGCAGGGGTTGGACTGGATGAGCTTTCGATGTCCCTTCCAACTCCTCACATGCTGTGATTCTGTGATAGGGCACTTCAAAACATAAAACTTACTTAAACATGATCTTTTCCCAGCTGTGCTTGCACCTCCGGAACACAAGTTGCCTCCTCGATGGACCAGCTCAAGTTCCAAGTTTGTTCTGCAAGAAAAACGTAACGGTGTTGGATGGAAAAGCATTACTCAAGCTCCTACAGATGCAAGAGTCACTGAAACTCCCAGTGTACACTAAATAAACGAATGCTGTAAACTAATCTTCAGTGCGGGATACTGCCAAAATATGACGCAGAACAAAACAAACTTTATCAAGATATTACCAGACGTGATTTCAAGTGCTTTGATTAGCAAGTACTAGATAAAGAGAGCTGCTAAAAGAGAGCTGCTACAGTTGTGACTGAAGAAGAAGAAGTTAATTCTGAGGCTTTTCTCTGGATGCACACACAATTCCTTGATAACCAGGGAATTCATGTGCCAATCTGAAAAGACAACACACAGACTGGCTGTATGCAGATCAGTCAGATACAGCTAAAAGGTGTTCTCTTTATTGGCAGGGCTTTCATTTTGCTTTAAACAAAGAGTACAAGGGCTATGTCATCACGTAACTAACTGAAAACAGTCTAAATTACAATGGAAGCACTGACCTGCACAGGTAAGTTAGTTATGAAAGCCTCGGAGGTTGATTCTGAGTGGAACACTGGTATTCACTGGAGCTCATCAACATGAACAGGAGCTGTGTCACTAACTCTCTGCATGTCACGTTGATGTTTGCTTTCTTAGTCTTATTGCCATCTGATACTTAGGCACCAATTGTTCAGGCCAAACTCGATGGCCTTGGTTTTGGAACTGGATGTTTCAGTACTGCATTATCTTTTACCCCCGAGACTTGAAGCAAACAATTTACATTATCTTCTCTCAGAGTTTCTTTTAATAAGTCAGCATAAATTCCTTTTATTTAAAAAAGGAAGATAATTCACTATTATTGTTATAACATCATTAATCCACACAGCAAAGCTGTGTAAACGTGTTTTGTCCTTTAACTAAAAATCAAACAGTTTTAGGTTCAATATAATGCATCTGAATACATACTGAAATCTAGAGTTTTAGGCACATAATATATCTAAGCTAAGAACACACACATATTTATTTAAAAAGAAATTACAGAATGACCATTTTATTAAAAACAAATTATTTTTTAATAATTTCAGCTCCATCAGCTTGAAAAAATAATACATTTTTGATATGCAGTCTGTTAAGATACTTTCCTACGTCTTTAAAATAGTAACGTTTCTGAATATTCCTATCCCTAACTTTGCAGCTTATGCCACCCGTTTCTGAAGGAATGCTTTAATCCTCTCTACTCAGAAAAGGCAATTTAACGTTGATAATGTGCCTGCTCAGAGCTCCATCTGGTTGCTGCTGATAAGGGCATCTGTGTGACAGGGGAATTTTCCACTCTTCAGGCGATTTGCAGTGCTCACTGAACTTCTGAAAATCTACCAGCACGGAATCAGGGACAGGGAGCTCACATTGGCAGACACAACAGCGACTGTAGATCGGCAGATGCTAGTTCATCATGGCAATAAAGGAAACCAGTATGTTTTATTTCTACAATACTTCTGACAACTACTTTGTAGAACAAAATTAATGGCAGCATTTCATTAAAACCAAGGTAATTAAGGTTTAAATCAAAAACACTACCTGAATGTCTAAGAACAACTTTCTAAAGGTACAATTTTAAATTTCCCTTTCAACAAGAAGTTTGTACAATTTCACAAAACAAACCTCAGGGACCATTCTGAAGAAACCCTTCTTGATACGTATGAGGTTTTGTAAAGTACTTTTTGTTATAGCGAATGTAAGGAAAGAGATTTCTGGAAACATATACTCCATCTCCCACATCACACCAACTCTCAGCTCCTCAAAGACAGCAGCTTATAGTTCAGCTTGCTTGGAAAAGTAAACATTAGCCTTTTCCTCTAAGGCATCTCTTTCAAAACATACCTAAACTTTGGCATAAAAGTGCACAGCAGAGAAAGCATCTTCTGTGAAACTGAACACTTCTCCTTTATAAAATGTCCTACATCAGGTACAGCCTGAAAGAGACTCTCTGAAAGAGACTCGTGTATCTCCTCCCTAATTCAAGCTCCCTTCTGCCTTGAGGATCCATCTGCCCTCTGCTGAAGAAAAGCAGAGCTCTCAGTGCCTATTCTCTCATCTATGAAGAAAAACCTGGGGCATCTGACAGAAGAGTGAAACAGAGAGGTGTCTCTGAGCATCCTTTGCTATCTCAGCTCTCTCAACATAAAGGAAAGAGAAGGCGAAAGAAAATCTATATGAGTGACTGTTTTCTCTATCTGGAAATCTTTGTGTCATTCATTGGAGCAACAAATTTTGTAGAACACTGGTTTTATCTTCCTCACTCATAGAAAAAAACCTGGAGATGGATTTTGCTCAGCTGTACAGACTCCTGATTTAAAAGCAACTCTACTTCATCCCTTCCTGTGAGCTTTCATTACAGGAACATATTGAGGGTAGGGAGGGTGACTGCATATTTCTCAGAATTCATATCATGACAGAGTAGGGGGAAGCAAAAATGCAATGCTCTTTCCAGAAAGAGAATGTTTGGATGGATCTCTTTGTACTGGGACAGAAGAATCAAGTTAAGCGCTATCATTTTTTTCACTTTTATTTATACATATATATTTATGAAAAGAAACAGATACTGAGATACAGACTGGAAGGGAAGAACACGAGGTTCTTATATTAGTCTATACATAGCTGACAGCAAAAAGAAAAGCTTTGTTTACGCAGCCAACACAAGCACAAGACCTACTGCTATGCAATACAGAAACAGTGCTCCAAGATGCTGCACAAACGACAGTCATCAATGCTATGAATGCGCAGCTATTAAAGCTAGACACATGTGCTTTGTGAATGACACACTACACTAATCTCATCAATGTCAGCAAAGGCAAGGAGGGATGCACATGAGAAGGTAATTTACTTTAAGGTAGGACTGCAGGGAAAGGGGGAGCTAGCTAAGAAGCTGCTCTTCTAGCTGCGCATGCAAATTGGGATGCCAAGCCCCCGAGTGCCTTTTTTGCTGGGGAAACAGACAGGGGCCAGCTCTCCTACCAGGTGGGAGAGAATCTGCTTGTAATTTGTTTTCACTGCTACCAGTGACATCTGTCAGGGTAAGCAAAACTAAGAAGAAAATTAAGTTCCCATTTTCCTGAAGCAGAAAGGATAAGCTGTGGAAAGTGGTTACGTCTTATTTAACCAGCAGTATTCCCATTCGAGCACACAGAAATCCACTTCAAAGCTGACCTCCAGCTGTAAACTAACATCTTTTAAGACGACTGCAGACAATGTCATTTTCTGATTGAAAATGAGACATGACTTAGAAGAAGAGTGTTTAATTCACTTCCAAACATATGGTCAATAAAAAATATCATTGCATTCAAATGCTTATTTAAACAGGGGCTACTTATCACCTTGAGCACTGTATGTTAGATCAAATACCAGGAAGAAATGAGCAACTGCTGTAGATGGTCTGACCAAAACCAGCAAAATGTTTCAGAATACATGAAACTAGAATGGTCAAAGGTAACTGGTTGGTACGGAACACAAGGATACCATTACCTTAAGAAGAACTGGATGGAAATAAGGAAGAAAACAGGCTGAATGACAGGAGTAATTTCCAGAAAGCAAGTTACTTCAGTCTGCAATCTAAACTGTGGACAGTCCATTGTTTGGATACTTAAAATTAAACAAAACTTACTAAAAATCATTCAAAGCAAACTCTTTCAGTCTGGGAGATGAGCAGGTTGCTTACATATTTATTTTGATAAATACAAGCTACGGTTATATTAAAATGTCAGTTTTAAAGTTCATTTTTTTTAACCTGTAGTTCTTATGCAATTATCAAGTAGTAGAAGCCTGTAAATCTGGATTGGTGAATTGAAAGGCAAGAGAAATGAAGCATTTTGTAGCTGAGTTACGGTAACAGTAGAGAAGGCTGGATGCAGCACCTGCAGTCCTTCAGCGATGGATAAATGGAACACTGCTGGCACCAGTCTCACCTAACAAGAGGTCACAATGAGTGCAGACGGCACATCCCAATCCTGGTGCTCAGCCACGATTGCACTCCAGCAGTACAAGCAGCAGTGAAATGCTGTTCTGGTTTAAGGTATTTTAAGTCTTGGAATGAAAACAAAAACCTTGGCCTTAGGGTATTAATACAAAAAGCATCAAATACAGATTTAAAATATATGTGGCTAGCATTTTTAACGTTCTGTAACATTACAATCCAGAAGTACATTGTAACACCAGTTTTGTACCTTAAGTGGCATGTCAGGTTACAATTACAAGTAACTATACTTCTATATGGGAAACATTGAGTCCTTTGTATTCCTGGAGGGATACTGAATTGCACTGACCAAACACCTCACTGCTAAAAATCTCAACATTATTTATCCTTGTGTAGCGTATGCCACAAAGTAATACAGAAAAAACTTTCACCTTGCTATTTATAAAATTTAACTGCTGCTCTTGATCAAGGCATAGTTAAGGTACTCTTAAAGAATACAGATAAAATTTCTTTTAATAAAACTAAACAATCATCTAGGTTGGAAGAGAATTCCGGAGATCAGATGGTCCAACTTTCTGTCAAAAGCTGAGCCTTAGGTTTGATTACCCAGAGTCCTGCT